ACAGAGCAGGTACAGCTTGATAGATGGGAACTTCGGAAAGAGCTGCAAATCAGAAGCCATGCATGGGCCAGCATTGGAAGGTTCTGGGGTTCTGGGAGAGAAGTTCACATTCTGTGTCAGTTTCTTTGTGATACTGTGACAAAATACCCCGCAGAAATAGTTTATGAGAAGACAGCTTTATTTCCACTCATGATTTGTGAGGGTCTTAGTCTATCTATCACGACAGGGAGGGCATGGCAGAATTCACGGTGGTGGCAGCATGTTGTAGAGGTCTCTCACATTACTGATGAGCAGGAAGGAGAGTAGCCAGAATTAGGGACCAGGCTAAAACCTTCCAAGTCCCACCTCTAGACGTTTCCTAGGTCCTGTCTCTTAAGGCTCTACAATCCTTTTAGAAGCCCCAGTTGCTGGGGAGCATGCACCCAAATCATGGGCCTATGCACACACTTCAGATTCAAAATGCAGTGCTCCTTAACAGACTTGGAAAGGTATTACAGCCTGGGCCAAGAAGAATGTCACTAATAAAACATGAATTTGTGTCTTTTCTTTTGGATAGCACCACATACAAGACAGAAGGGCATGTCTGTACAACTGTGTACTAGGTGTCTCTTTGGGTGAGTGTGTGTGTGTGTGTGTGTGTGTGTGTGTGTGTGTGTGTGTGTGTGAGAGAGAGAGAGAGAGAGAGAGAGAGAGAGAGAGAGAGAGAGAGAGAGAGAGAGAGAGAGAGAGAGAGCATCTGTATACTCGAGTGTACAGAAGCGTGCATATTCTGCATGTAGCCACAAGCCTTCTAGGGTTCTATTTCTTCCACTGGGGTGTAAAGTAGGGGTGTTTAAAGCTAGACCAGAAGGCAGGACATAAAAGGCACCCACAATCTCAACTCTGCAGCCTGTGCGGATTGCCACACTTCAGACAGGAGCCTGCTACCCTATTATCTGAGGCCTCGTGGGGAGATTCCTAGCTCTGTTGCTGTGATTTCAGGTAGGGTGTGTTTTGGGGTGGAGCCTAGAAAATTTGCATGTCCAACAATTTCTGGCCAAGGGCAGTGCTGGTAGTCTGTTTACCACACTTTGAGAAGTGCCCCACCCCCGAGTCTGGTGAGTGCTGCTGTGTGCGTTCCTTTCCATGCCCAGCTCTGCTCTTTCTCTTTTTGCTGGGGCACCTGTGCTGACAGATAATATATAGGATGCCCAGGAAAATCTGAATTCCAGATTCAGAAAACTTTTTTTAGTACAAGTATGTCTAAGATGTATAATAATAATAATGATAAAAACCCCACATTCATCTGAAATTCAAATGAAATGGGCATACTGCATCTAATATGGCCACCTTTTCATCAAATTAGGGTCAAGTGCCTCTCTCCTGCTGCTTCTCTGTGATTGAATAGGCCACAGCTGTTGATGAAGCTGGCCCAAAGAGGGCTTGTGATTTTGGGGCAATCCACCTGCTCCCCCGAGCTCAGTGAAGAGGAACTGGTTTGTGTACACTTCAGAGTCTTGCTGGCTCTCTGCTCCTTTCTCTCTGTTTATCTGTCTGTCTGTCTTTCCCTCTCACGATTTCTTTACACCATCTCTTTCTGGGGTGGGGGTGGGGTCTTAAAGGCAGAAATCTGTGATGTGGGGGACTGATCCGGCAAAGATCAACTTTTGGCAGCAGTAGCAGAATCCAAGAGACCGATGACATCCCAGGGTAGAGGGGATGAGTGACATTTTGCCTAGAGGAGGTGGAGATCACTAGCTGGCACCCCACATATTATGGGTCGGGCTGGAGTGTTCATGTGGTTGGTTCTCATTGTGTTGGGGTTGTTGGAGTTTGTTCAGGGCTTGAAGGAAATTGACTCCACTTGGTCTCTGTAGCTGGCAGAGGGAGCCCGCTGCTATGGGTTTATCACAGATTGAGAGGCAGAGAAAAACTTGAGCAATCAGAGGCCTCCTGGAGACTTGGACTTGGCAACCTCCTAAATGGCCCCATTTGTCCCCTTTGCTTGCCAAACTGTCTTGATGCTGAGAGCCATGAGGATGACAGCAGAAGGCCTAGCTGCTTCCCTTCCCTTCCCTTCTCCTCACCAACTGTTGGTCCAGACCCACGTCCTCCCCCTCCCTTCACTCTGAACAGTTTCTTGTCGAGGGTCCTGGCACTAACCACCAGATTCTCCGAGGGCAGGAGGCTGGAGCCACACAGGACTGAGATGCTGATTTCCCTGCACATTACCCTGGGACCTGGCCTTGGGGGCTCTGTGCACATCTCCAAGCTCCCACGGCCTGTCCTCCCCGCCTTGCATTCTTCATGGAATGGAAAGGGAGAGTGGGTTCAGGAGGGTAGGGTCTTTGTGGGACCCAGCAAACTGCCTCTGGAGCCTTCCCTTCCCTTGATGTGCTCACTTTACCCGCAGGATAAAGTGGTGTGCTTTTCTTCTCTGTGGGTCATGCAAAGCTGTTTCTTGTTTGCACTTGTTAGACCCAGGCATAGTGCTGGGGACCAGACATCTGCAGAGAGAAGGCGAGATGATGATTCTTGTCTTTGCTGATGGCTGGCGGCTCTGTCGAGTATCTCTCACCATTTTATTGAAGCTCTGGGAAGACATAGCTTTCTATTTGTTAAGTGGGGACACTGAGTACCAGAGACATGGCCAGTGAGCCCCAGGTCACATAATAGAGCAAGGGATGGAGCAGAGCCATGTGACAGATGGCTCTCACAGCAGCTGGACTGGCTTCTTCCTTGCCAGCTCAGGAGCCCCTCTAGCCACAACTCTTGAAAAGGTCTGAACCCTTTTACCTTCTGTCCCCTGGCTTGTATCCTTACCCCCACTTCTCCTGCAGAGTCTGGCTGATCTAGGGTCTGCTAGGGAAACATTCTAGATCCCTCAAAGGACCCCTCCCATATTCTCTCATTTATGTTTCCACTCCTTTTCCAGCCTTGGAGCTGGAGACATTTTGAGAGGCTCCTTGGATTGTGAGACCAGCTGAAAGATGTGCAAAGTTCCCAGTGCCATTTGATCTTGGAGCCAAACTTGTTACAGAGGAGAAGGCTGCTCTGGATGCTGGTGGTGATTGGAGCAGTCCAGGAGGCTTCCAACAGCTACAGGTCTAGCTGGAACCCTCAGCTCAGTTTTGGGCAGATCCTGTTATTTGTAAGGAAGTGAGCAGATAGTGTCATTCCCCCAAATCCCTGTTCCCCAATCTGGGGAGGTGGAGATAGGGTGGGGAGCATGCTGCCTTGACTATGTTACTGGGGTTCCCTTCTGATGTCATATTGACGTGCTTACCATTCCCATCTTGACTCGGCCAGTCATATGCCAGAGGATATGCTCCAACATAGTTGGAGCAAGGATGAGGGCTGTATCTACCATCCCATGTTTAACAGGGCCTTGGAGGATATGGATGAATAAAGAAATAAAATTGCCACATTAGCAATGGATGTTCTCATCGGAGAGACTAAACAAGGCACTGTCAGCAAGTCTCTGTGCTGTTGAGTTACTGGGTCCAGATTTTCTGTGTAGTTGCATGTAGAAAGAGGACAAATCTATGTGATCACAGGAAAAGATGGCCATGGAGAAGGGTTGGGGGTAGCTTTGGAGATGCCGGAAGTGGGAGATAAGTTCTGTACATGCCCACGTGGAATTGAAATGAACTCATGAATTTCAGTCAGAGGGGGGTGTTTAAACAACTTAAACAGAAGACATTTAAACAACTTCGTACAGAAGATGGTAACCAGTGATTGTTCACAATGCAGGATTCTGCAGGATCTCCATTTCTGCCTTTATCTTCTCTTACTACCCTTGCTTCCTTTTGGAGGAAGATTTGAGCAAAGTGGAATCTTTGAAAATCCTAGTGTTTGCCAGGGATGTACCAAAGTACCAGAGACTAGGCAGCGTAAGACAGAAATAACCTTTTATAGTTCTAGAAGCTGAAAGTCTGAGGTTTAAGTGTCAGAGGGACCATGCTTTCTTTGTGCTCTCAGAGACTCAGATGAGCTGATAAATGAAGTCACATGGCCAGGACATGATGTTTGCCTTAGATATGATAGGGAGAGAGGCTGATGGAAACCTCCATGGCCAGAGCACTAGGGCGAGAGGGAGAAGGAAGGGGGCTCCCGTGGGTGTTAGACTTTGTGCCACATCAGCTCTGAGGCTTGGGGGTAGAGAACAGGCCTGCTCCTGCTCCTGGCTGAGTGTGGGAGAGCTGGGCACAGGTGGCTACAAAGCAATGTCACAGGTGCTAACAACAGTGGGTGATGGCATACTAGGTCAGGAAGAGAAAACTTCACAAGGTGGGTTCTGCCTGGGGATGCTGGGAGGCAGGAGAGGGGCAGCCTATTGACCTTTACTCTGACGTGATACAGAAGAGTCCAGGCAAGAACAAGGAGATGTTTCACCCTAAGGAGACTCTTCCTCCTTCTCCCTGAGTTCTGACGTCTTTGAGCTTCAGGCTAGGGTAGGGATCATTGGATCCACTTCGGGTTGGGAAGAGCAATGTGTTCCAGGATTTGGGCAACGTTCTCCAAGGTGCTGGCTGGCAGGAAGCGGAACCTAGTTCCCTGCCCTGGTCCTGGATACTGTCTATCAGCACACCCCTTCCCTCCTTTCTGCTTTTCTGCTAGCAAGAACCAGTTAGAGAGCATTGCCAGTGGCTTTTTGAGTTCCTTGTGTCCATTTGTCTCTGAACTTTAGTTTAGTTCTTTTTTGAGGCAATTCTCACACTGTATTCCAGGCTGGACTGGAACTCACTGTGTAGCTCACTCAGGTTATCCTCAGACTTGTGATAACCCTCCTGCTCTAGCTCTCAAAGTGCTGGTATTAGAGATGTGTGGCTGGGGCTTTTCTTAAATTGCGCTATGCCTGGCTCTTCCGGTCTCCCTTCACTTTCTATCCCCCCCTTTCCCGGCTTCCTCAGGTTCTAGGATCTGCAGTGTGGAGCTTCTATGCCCCAGGCAGTGCGGAGGAGGCTGGAGCGGGCTGCCAGACTAAACTGTTTCCTCCTTGGGTCTTTTCCTGACACCAGGTCCCGCCTGGCAGACTTCCACGCCAACTGTCGAGCCTCCTACCGGACACTCACCAGCTGCCCTGCGGACAACTATCAGGCGTGTCTGGGCTCCTATGCTGGCATGATTGGTAAGCTCTCCTTGCATTTTCTGAGCTTTCAGTGCCCACCTCCCCAACCTCACTAGGGTGGGGATTGCTGCAGACCAGCCCAAGACCGGTGAAGGAGACTCACAGCATAGCCTTGCCTGTGGCAGACTCAGACAGAGCATTCAGGGGAAAGCAGGGGGAGGCTACTCCTTATCAGGAGGGGCCTGTTTCTTTGTTACAAGACTTTGGAAATTAAGCTACAGCCTTCGAGGCACTGCGAATCAGTCAATGTGGATTATATTGGAGCTTTCTCTAAGTAGTTGATATTTATATTTCACAGGCAAGGAGACCGATGCTTAAGAGAAACAGTTCCTTGACCAGGTTCACTTATTTGGTAAATGCTGAGATCCAACCCAGGATGGGTGCCTTTATCTTTTTGATTCTAGAAGAATCACTCTGCATGTTTGTGAGGGAGAAAGCAAGGACCTGAAGGCTGGGCCTGAGCTGCTGGGGTCTTTTCTGCCCTTCTGATGACACTGGTGATTCTCTAGGCCTTTGGCCTTTCTGGTCCTTGCGATTCCACAGTCATCAGGGCTAATTGTGCTCAGAGTCAGGACTATAAGTTTTCTGTGTTTGTTTGGTGTGTGTGTGTGTGTGTGTGTGTGTGTGTGTGTGTGTGTGTGTGTGTGGGCAAACATGAACCTTTGTCCTATTGTGTCTCAGCATCTTCTTTTCCTTCCCTTCCTCCCTCCCAGGGTTTGATATGACACCCAACTATGTGGACTCCAACCCCACTGGCATTGTGGTGTCTCCCTGGTGCAACTGTCGTGGTAGTGGGAACCAGGAAGAAGAGTGTGAGAAGTTCCTCAGGGACTTCACAGAAAACCCATGCCTCCGTAAGTCTGGGAAAACTTTTCCTATGCCCTTCTGTCCCTTCTGTCCCCTAGCCAGCATATACTTCTGCCACCTGGGAGGGAACCTAGAGCTGCCCTGGTCATTTTCCTCTCATCTTTTTGGGATGGCCATTGATACCTGTGGGGCTTCTGTATCATATAGGACTTCCCACAGAGGCCAGAAGTTTTGAACTCTTGGAGATTCCATACAGAACTGTCAGTGAGCTGCCTGATCCTACCATCAGAGTCCCCAAGACCATGGGAAGTCAAGACAGAATGATTTTTGTTGGCTGTTCTGACAGCATCAGCCAGTTTCCTTTGGAGACAGAGTCTTCTCATGAGGACCACAGGCACCCTCTCCATGTAGTGGGTCTTTCCTCTTGGAATTGGTGACTTAAAAAAAAACCATTTAACTACTGGTCCAAAGGCTGCAGAAAGAAGTGGTCACAGTCAAGTTCAGCTTGCCTTTGGTCTTTGCAGCCTGACATCCCTTGCTGATGATGCCACAGGCACATCTCTTCCCCTGTTCTTTCTCTCCACTTTTCCTTCTGTTCATCTCTCTTTACTCCCCTTCCCTTTATTCTGGCATTGGGGACTCAGAGATAGATTCCAGTGCCTGTCATTAAAGAACTGTAGCTAGATGGAGTTCAACTCAAGAGTCATCTGTGATCCCAGCATAGTGGAAGTTGTAGGCTAAAGTTCTCTATGGTGTTAGAGTTCAGATACCCAAGTCCTCCTGGATAAGAGAGGACTCAAGGCTTCTCAGAGGTTGTATCTCTTGAGGACAGCTGGGTATTAGCCCGTTGAAAAGGCATGGACCATCTGATGGTCTACTCTGACAGGTTTCCAGGGCTCCCTAGGAGAACACAGACTGGAGATTACAGAGGAGAGAGCCTTGTCACATAGCATTGCACATGCATAGTGGCATGTATCTGGACTGGAAGATAGCATACTCTTTCTGCAGATCTGAAAGCATTGGGGTTTTCTTGCCTAAAAGTCATGGTGGTGGGTGGCAGTGCAGAGTGGTTAAAGGATTCTGGTCAGCAGTTGGTATTGGCATTCAGTCCAACCTGGTTGTGGGTAGATGTCATTGGGGTTGTGGATATGACTTTGATGGGTGACCTAATACTGAGAGTCCCATACTCTAGTAGATGCCCATGGAAGAAGACTGTGATCACTAGGGGACAGTGACTAGAGGTGGAATCATGAGATGACTAGGAGGTAGACTCAGATGACATCCTTGGGAGGCTTCATGGGCTACTGCCTCCCAAGGTTCTTCTGCTTTGGAGGACTTAGTTAGATATAGAAGACATCTCCAGGACTGGCAGTAAAGGGGAGAGAGCATTGTTGATGGTAGGACAGTATGCATAGTCCACAGTGAGACATAATGACTTTGGAGGTAGATATTTCTGTAGACACTTGTTGAGTTTTAAGAATAATTTTGTCCAAGAAGTGCAGTTAGTTTCCCCCAATGGATTAGTGCTAGTTGGTTGCATGGGTTAGGGAGGCTGTCCAGGAAAAGTCAGTGATTAGGAGAGGGAGAATGGCTGAGTATGGGGTGGGGATAAGATTGTACTTGAGTTGGCAAAGGAGCTGGAAGAACCTGTACCCAGGAGCTAAAGATGGGGCCTTCTGCAAGAGAGGTCTCCAGTGCTGACCACCAAGATGTTCCTGCCGTCTTGGCTTGGCCAAGTGTCTCTAGGCTTCCTGGATCAATTCTCCTTTTCCTTATAGCAATTCTCACCATGTTAATTTCTTTCCATTTTAATTTTCCATTTCTAGCTTTTATCTTGTATTTTCCTCGCCAACTGGGAGAGCATTTTACATCTGAAAGACGACTTAGCAAAATCAAACTCCAATGTTCTACCATTTGTCCCAGCTTCTAGGCTCCTTTGGGAGGGCAGTAGTTAGGAAGGAAGTTCATTAGGAATGATGGAAGTGGGCTCTGATTTTGCTATTTCTATCTGTCCTCTATCCAGGGAATGCCATTCAGGCCTTTGGCAATGGCACAGATGTGAACATGTCTCCCAAAGGCCCCTCATTGCCAGCTACCCAGGCCCCTCGAGTGGAGAAGACTCCTTCATTGCCAGATGATCTCAGCGATAGCACCAGCCTCGGGACCAGTGTCATCACCACCTGCACGTCTATCCAGGTGAGGGCTGTGTCTCTGAAACATGGGAACTAGAACTTTGGATAGCTCAAGATCTCATAGTGCACCAGGGTGTCAGACATGATATGGGAAATCACTCAAATGGGGCCATTGAAGGAACACTGAAGGTTCCTTAAGATTAGGAGCTCAAGGGGCAGGGATTTGGGAAAGAAGATTTTCTTTTACCTCTTTGTTCATTTAGACATTTTCTTTGCAAATATGAAAACACTTATTACCTATCAGTATTGTATTAAACATACTGGGGCACAAGAGAAAGGTAATTGTTATCATACAGCTACAGTCTGCAAACTATCAGTAAGTATGCTGGTGATTCTCATCTCATTGAATTCATAATGAGGTGACAGCATTCTTATTCAACATTCAGGAAACTGATCCAGAGGTCTCAGGTGACATACCCATGAACATGCTACTGACAGTTGGTGGTATGAGATTTCAAGCCTTTATCTGACTCTAAGACTTACAGTGTTCATTGAATGGTCCATCCATCCATCCATCCATCCATCCATCCATCCATCCACCCATCCATCAATGCAATGTGACTTATTGACCCAGTATAAGCTGTATCTTATATGAGCTTCTAGGGAAACATTGGTGAGTGAGATTGATACTATCTTGCATTGTACAGTGTGCTGGCTAGATTTATGTCAACTTGACACAAGCTATAATAATACAAGAGGAGGAAAATGCCTCCCTAAGATCAGGCTGTGGGTCAGCCTGTAGAGCATTTTCTTAATTAGCAATTGATGGGGGAGGACCTAGCCCATTGTCGGTGGTGCCATCCCTGAGCTGGTAGTCCTGGGTTCTATAAGAAATCAGATCAAGCAAACCAAGGGGAGCAAGTCAGTAAGCAGCACTCCTCCATGGCTTCTGCATTGGTTCCTGCCTCCAGGTTCCTGGCCTGTTTGAGTTCCTGTTTGGCTTGATGTAGTACAATGTGGAAATAAACCCTTTCCTCCCCAACTTGCTTTTGGTCATGGTGTTTCATTGCAGCAATAGAAACCCTAACTAAGACATATAGTCTTTAAGGCCTTAAAGGTCAAACAATGATGTCCTTCACTGTAGTAGCTTGTCTGCTAAAGAGGTTGATCCTAAGTAGGCCAGATGCATATTTACTCACACATGTGCACACACAGACACAGACCTTAGATGCACACAGATGTAGACGTAGACACAGATACACATAGACACAGACACACAGACACACACACACACACACACACACACACACACACACACACACACACACACACACAAACATCTAGAACAAAATATTTGGAAGAAAATTTAGTCCAGAATGCCAACGTGAACAGAGGGCAAACAGTGAGGTGTGTGTGGAGAGCACAGGAGATGTTTCAGGCAGGAGTTGTCGGACACTGGCTGAACACATTGCTGGGGTCTGGAGAACACCAGCAGGGGCACAGACAACTAGAAGGTTTGGGAGGACCTGAGATGGTGGGCAGTGGACTTCTCCAATCGGCAATGGAACATTCACAGCACTAAGATGAGAACTTGAACAGGTTCCTCCCCGGCACCCATCAAGTCACAGCTCTCTGCTGGTGACCCTCATGGTTAGGGAAGTCACTGTTCCTTCTGCTCCTTGCTGGGGTCTCATTATCACTGACAGTTGCCTTTAAGTACCTTTAAGTATCAGTTGGAGCCTTTCTGTTGCATACTTCCTCCATTAAGCCTCCCTCTGGAGTGGCGGGTGAAGGCACCCATGTCATCTTTGGCTACCTCCTGGGCATACCTGAATGACTGCCAAGGGAGGGCTCAGGTTCCCATTCCCACAGACAACTGTCTGCTCAATTTCACGCTAATGTGGTAGACAGTTAGGAAGATGGGCGTTGTGCCACCTGCTTGATGACCAGGCTCAGGCACAATTTGCCTGTCCCATGCCTTACATAATCCAAGCTTCTTGGGGACAGCTCACCTGTGGAGAAGCTACATTATCAGAAGGTTGCTATTCCTATAACCTCTGTGTGATCCCTTGTGAGCATGGAGAAGTTCAATGCTGAGGTGTGAGCCCTCACCCCAGACTCTTCAGTGTCTAATAATGCCAAGGCTCATTGTTTCTTCTTAGAAAAATTAATTCTTTACATATTGATTAATCAATTAATTATTGCTACATGTGAGCTTGTTTGTGTATGATGTGTATACACAGGTGTACATGCCATGGCACATAGGTAGAGGTCAGAGGACAACTTTGTGGAGTCAGTTCTCTCCTTCCACCACTGTGTGGGTTTCTGGAGATGGCTGGGTTTGCACAGTAAACACCTTTACTGTCTCTGTCACATCATGGACCCCCATTCTTTGTTTGCGTTTTGGGTTGCTAAAGCATCCTTGCTTAGTTTTCCCCTACAACATGGGCTTTCACAGGCTCCACTCTGGGGGCTTGTCTTAATCCTGATTTGATTCCAGGGGAGATGATGAATGATCTGTTTGGGAGATGATATAAAAATGCATTGTATACTGAGGAATGCTGCCCAAAGGCAGGGATTATAAAGCTCTGGTAGGTGGGAGGCTCCTTAGCAGATGGTTCCTGCAGGCCTGGCCCCAGGGGTTGTCAACCTGGCACCCACTGACTAAGTCATTGAGCAGGATTCCAGAGACAGCCCTTCTAGAAGACAAGGAAGAAAATCGGTATTTAGGAGAGACCGGTTCACCCTTCCACCTTCGATCCCTTCTCAGAAATGCAAGGCAAATGCCTCTGAATCACTGCTTACCATCTTTGTAGGGAACCCCCTTTCATCCATGCCAAGTTGCTCTGTCCTGGTTCAGATCAGGGCTAGCCTGGGGGCTCGGCATCTTCCTACCTTACGCCCCTCCCCTGTCTATCAATTCTGCTAATTTGTGATATCTCTGACTGATGGTCTCTATGATGGTTCTGGGGGGACCCTTGAGAGTTCAGTAACAAACGACTATAGAAAGAGTCCCTGAGTGTAGGCAGAGTAGGAAGTGTAGGTCAGGGTTGGCGGAACCTGTGTGCTCCAAAATATGGCTCAGAAGAGGCCAGATTATGTTTCCTACCTTCTTTCATCTATCTTTCTTTCCTTAGGGGAAGTTCAAGGGGCCTCTAGAGATAGCAGCCTGATGGGAACCCAGCGAGTGTCTAGATGTTAAGACTGGATCCTTTAGCATCTCTTTCCCAAACTAAAGGGTCCCAGGGTGGACAATGACTTGTTTGTGGCCTCGTGACCACTTGGTGGTTGAGCAGGGCCAGGACCTGGGCCTCTACTTGTCTTGTGCTTCCTCTCTCTCAAGTCTGCTCTGCACACAAAGTGGATGCAGGGTTGAGAACTCCTGTTCCCATTGAAGACCTGCGGACAGGGATGCAGGAATGTTATACAGCAGAGGGGATCCCTGAGCTAGGACTTGGTCCAGCATCTTTGATGTAGCCTCAGGTTGTATATTAGAAGCACCCCAGCTGTGGCCCCCTTTCTGTGGCTCTCTGGCACTTGGAGAGCTTCTGACATGTTCTGAGGTGGTCTCCAGCCTCAGGATCTGTCTATAGCGGAACCTTGTCTGAATGTTCTTGCCTAGCCTTCTACCTCGATGGTCTCTGGCTGGGAGGTAGGCTGGTTTTAGATAACCAAGGTCTTTGTTTCTGAAGTCTGAGGCAGGAGGCTGCCCCATCACATCTTGGACAATTGAAAAGAGGCTGTAAGACCCTCACCTGATGCCTGAAGCAGACCTTGCAAGCAGCAGCATTTCTTTCCCTCCACCCATCCTACCCTCTTACTGTGTGGGTCTCTTTCCCAGGCCCATTAGTACTGGAGCATGGGGCTGGGATATACATGCAATGCACATGGCTTCATTTATTCAATAGAAATTCTAACTGTATGTCACTTTATCCTGGCCACTGAGACTGAGAACCTTATTCAGCCTGTACCCTGTTCCTCATAGCAGTGGGATAGACAGGAGGCCCAGGTGGTCTACTGGGGTTTAGGGTGGGAGGACTTGCCTTGTGTGGTAGTGGAAGCTGAGGGCTAGCCAGCAAGGGAAAAGCTGCCGCCTGGCCTGGAGAAATTGGAGGAGCATTGAGTACATGATTCAGAGTAAACAAGGGTGTGGCAGGCAGAGGGAAGGGTTGAGCTGATGATACGGTGTTTGCATATTGTCTCTGTGTCATAGGCAGCATTGTGGGCAGTTAGGACGGTCATTCTAGCTGCAAAGCCTAAAATGATCGCCCCTGGCACTTTATTGAGTACAGTTACAGACCCATGGCTTTGATTGGAAGAAAACAGGCATTGGTTTGGCAGGACAGTGAGTGCTGTGTGGCGAGGCTTGGGTCCTGTGTATGTGTAATAGGCAGAAAGTGGTGAGCAGTGAGCCATTGACAAACTCCGGCTAGGGGGGAGTGTGGGGTCTGCTCAGAGCCAAGAGTGTAGTAGTTAATCCGACAGCAGGTAGGAATTGTTTGGCAAGGCAGAGATACAGAGTCAGGGAAGCCTGTTGGAAGATTCTTGGGATACCCATAGTCACAAGCTTGAAAAGAGAGATTAGATGGAGGGGTCAGGGAAGGAAGCAGAAGAAAAAATGAGGGTCATTGTGGGTGGGGAATACAGGAGAGAGATGGTCCTTGGCCTGTCCTAAGGGTACAGGTGAGAGAGAAGGCCAAGGGATTAAGGTTGGCGATGCGTTCCAGAACAGGAGTAGGGTACCGAAGAGAGCAGGCTGGCTCTGCCTGCTCAGCAGACTGGCACTGGGCCTTAGTCACTAGTATCTGAGCCAAGCCAGAGAGACTCTTGGGACTTATAGGCTCGGCTTTGGGAGTAAGCATGGGGACTTCTTTTTAACTTCCTGGGCAAAAAGGACCTCCCTGGGAGAAAGTTCTAGAAGGATGAAACTTGCAGGTGTCGCCCCTTCTCTGTGTCATCATGCTTCTGGTGGCCTGTTAGCCAAGAGTTAGCTCATCCCACAAAGACCCTCTGCCCCACCTCCATGCGATAAGGGTAGCTGTTGGAAGTGCTGTACCAACATCCACGGGCCCTGATCCTGCCTGCCTTATGAGAGGTTCTGAGCAGGGCAGGCACAGGACTCAGAGTAGTCGAGGACAGAGCAATGGTGTGTGTGTGTGTGTGTGTGTGTGTGTGTGTGAAGGATTGGAGGAAGATGGACCTCCCTCCTGGGATTATGGCTGCCTAGAGACTCTTGTATATAGAGTTTATTTTTCAGATTCTGTATGAGCCCTTTGAGGCAGGGTATATATATATGCTTTTATTCCTTTGTGTGTGTATATCTGTGCCATGTCACAAATGTAGATGTCAGAGGACCACTTGTAAGGGTCAGCTTTCTCTTTCTACCGTGGGGTTTTGGGGACCAAACTCAGGTTACTAGACGTGGTGGCAAGCACCCCTACCTGCTGAATCATCTCATCTCCCCAGGCTGAGATACTTAGGCGGGAAAGGGAGCAGCCCCAGCAGCGAGGGAGGGAGGCAGGGGATCTGAGCCTCTGTGTTCCAGCATTAGGTAGTATAGAACTTCTATCTCTCTGCTCCCCCCGACCCACGTGCCGCTTTCGGGAAAGCCAGCCTGGGACTCCCCGCCCCCCCTGCTGCTTCGTGTGACTAGAGCTGGGCGGCGGGGTCTTGGGTTAGCTGTTGGAGGTCACTGCAGCCATTTGCTAGCTTCTGTTTCCTGGAAGCAGGAGGGCCGAGGGTTGTTTCTCCAGCCTTTTGCCTCCAGAGTTGCCGATGTGCAGACAGGGTAGAGGAGTTCTTGGAGAGAGCATGATGCTGCCCCGAGTTCCTCATCCCTCACTGGTCCCAGACTGCAGGCTGACTTGGGTTGTACCTTCTGACCTTAAGGCTCCTTCCCTGTCACTTGGATGCTTGGCTCTTGGGTTCTGGATACAAAACTACGTGGTGCTGCTTCATGCTTTGTGTGATGAACAGGTCATTTTGAGATCTGTGGGGGCACGGTGTCTGGCACCAGTGCCACTTAGTGATTTCTAGGTTATTTTATAGCGGAGGAAACCGAGGGTTAGTACGTTTGTCTTGGGTAATCAGCAGGAGCAAGTCTTGAGCCCAGAACTCTGTCTTCTTGGGTCCCTGCTTCTTATTCTGTTCCAGACCACCTTGGAGCAAGGATTTAGGTCCCGAAGTGTAGACAATCAAAGGGACTAAGCAGGTAGAGAGTTCTAGAACTAGATCTTGTAGCTCATGGGCAGCATGGGCAGATCTGACAGGTAATCCTCATTAAATGGGGGTGACCTCTCCAGGCCCTGGAGTCTACTCTCCTTAGGTTCTGAAGGATTCTTCTTCCTGGTTGGGAGAACTTGCTGGGCCCTGGTCACTCTGGGGAGGAACATAGGCCTAGGTCAGGGACCCCAAAGAGCATGTGTGTTCGGATCCTATCTCTACATTCCTGGTGGAGCTGGAGAATGAGTTTCTGGCTTGAGGCCTGGGAACATTTTTGGCTTTTCTTTGTGGCTTGATCCTGGTGTAGAATCCTGTGTGGCTATCACTGTCCAAGTCTAGGAGCCCGTATGGGCTGCCTGAGCATTTGTCCAGTCACAGAGTGTTGTGGCTGCCCCACCTTGGGTAATTGTTTAGTTGGGTTGTTCTATCAGATCTTAATTTTCTTAAGGCAATAGGCTATTTTAAAACAATTTTATGTGTAACTCTAAAGTACATTAATAAAACAAAGACAGGGCACCTTTGATTGGAATAAGACAAGGACCTTGAATCCTATGGGGCTGTCCTACTCTGTGATTTACATGGGCTTCATATCTAGAAGGATTGAAATGGAGGTGCAGGGGCAGGGGGAGAGGACATGGGATTAAGCCATGGAACCACTGAGGGCAGGCCAGCCTTGCCACACCCTATAATTAGAATAGAAAGAGGTGCTGGGTGCAGATAGATTCTTGGCTGTACACAGGAAGGGCAGATGTGACGGGGATGGTGAGGATTAGAGCTGAGGAGGGTGCCAGGTGGGAGACTGTGAAGACAGTACATCCTCTGAGATGAGATGACATGTTCTCCCTGAAGTGGCTTGCCCAGAACAAGTGGCACTATGCCTTGAGGAGGAAAAGCCCATCTTTGGGGATACAAGGACCTAGAGCCTGTGACCCTCTGAAGAGAATAGCAGTTGGTGGCTTGGCTGGGCCAGATTTTGTTATCTGGGGACACTGGTATTGTGGACTTGAGCAGGTTCCTCGTGGGTCTGGTTACTTTTGTGTCTCCAGTCTGGGTTATCACCACCCTTTCTTGGCCTGGATCTCAGTGTGACAGCTGGGGCCTTACTCAATTGACCAGATGCCCAGGATGATGGGTTGCCTATGGTGTCCAAGGGATTATTGATAATTCTGGCCAAGAACAGTGACTTCCACATAATTTCTTGGGCTTCCTAGGTGCTTCTATTGGCTAGAGTGTCCCCCGCCCCCCATTACCATGAGAACTGAGCTATTTGAGGTCAGGAGAGATGCACCATATTCCCAGTTTGTTCTCATGGGTCTCCATCACAGTGTTAGTAACAGAGAACTGCAGATTGTGCAAATCCTTTGGTCCTGCTGCCAAGTAGTTAAGTCAAGGTAGAGAATTCTGGAGCATCACCAAAACCACTTTTCCTGCTTATCCCTCACCTCATCTGCAGAGGGCCCAGGTGCACACATCTGTTTGGCATGGAAATGACCAAGCACAGTTGCTAGATCCCTAACATTAGTGACAGGCATCACGAATAAATCACAGCTCTCATCTCTCCTGAACTCAGATGAGGGCTCATAATCTTTTTCTCCACAGCTCTCCAGAAGCAATGGCAAATGATGAGCTGGCACCCAGCAGCCATTTTTCTCTGTGGCATTTATTCATTTGCGCTTGCATACACTTAGTGAAACATTAGCTGAGTTGCTCTTAGGAGCCAAACATGGCTCAGTGCAAGAAACAGGCATGTTCTCCGTCTTTGGGGAGTTGTGAGTAGTATTTAGAGATGTGGTTGGCCGGGGACCACAGAATGCAGAAAACTAGAGACCAGAGTTTTCTCCAGGAGTCCACACGAGCCAGGATAAAAAAAATTCAGAGTGTTTCAGAGGTAGCAGGATGCTTCGTGCTGCATGGGTCCCAGCCAGTGAAGTCTCTTGTGTACCCTCTGCTTAATGGTGCCAGCAGTAAATGACAACACTGGATAAAGCCTGGACCCAAACAGCCTGCTAACCTGCCATGCTTTCTTTTCCTAGGAGCAAGGGCTGAAGGCCAACAACTCCAAAGAGTTGAGCATGTGCTTCACAGAGGTGAGTGGGGGCACAGTGGGGGATGGGTACTTGAGACTGGCCCAGAGGAGCCGTTCTTTAGGCAAGAGTTGAACTCAGAGCCCCTGGGTCAGCTGAACTTCCAACCCCTCCTGGGCCTGAGTGAGAAGTCACTCTGTTGGGGTGGTAAAGGCCACAGCCAGAGCCTGTGGGTGTCTCCTTGCGGATGACAAATACCTGCTCCGAGCAGAGGCCTTCCCACAATCCCCTCTAAGACAGATGGCTTGAGCACTCGCTTGGCTCTAGTTCTGTGGTGGTTACAGGGCATGGAAGTAGAGAAGGACCCAGACTCTCGAAGGAGCCCCCTTGCCCAGGCTGTAAGAGTGACTCATAGACCCAGGATGATAACTTTGAGAGGAAAAGGGTGGTTCAAGTGTCTGCAGAAGGGTAAGAGAGAAGCTCTGTCAGATGCGCAGGGGTGGGGATTTGGGGAGGAAGAGTGTCCTATCAATCAGGAGCAGGGAGAAGGTGGCCTTCTTCCTTCCCTATCAATAACCAGGCCCTTATGGACCCCAAAGCCCCATTTCTTTAGAATCTTTTCTGTTTGTTTACTGCTTTTGAAATAGGATCTTACCTTATGGTCCTCACTGGCTTTGAACTCACTTTGTACTCAAGGCTACCCTTGAACTTAAAATTTTCCTACTTCCACCTCCTGAATGCTGGGATTACAAGCTTGTGCCGGGGTGCCTGTGTTCTGATGCCTTCCTGGGGTACATACCCCCATTCCCAACATGGGGACTACTGGTCCATTTACTGAGGACTACTGCCCATGGCCTTGAGGCTTAGAAGAGACAGAGTCCACTGTCTTGCCCAGTTCCCTGGAGGCACAGCTCTGCCCTCAGAGTGTAAGGGAGGCAAAAGAGGGGCTCTGTATGGTGAGAGAGGCAAGGCCAGAGACAACCGTTTTCTGTGTCCGTTTCTTTGACTGACCACAGCCCTCCTGATGGGTTTCTGTTGTTTTCTTCGTATGTGTCTCCTCCTCTGCCATGGATCAGCTCACGACAAACATGAGTCCAGGGAGTAAAAAGGTGATCAGACTGAACTCGGGCTCCAGCAGGGCCAGACTGTCGGCTGCCTTGACGGCACTCCCACTCCTGATGCTGACCTTGGCCTTGTAGGCCTTTGGAACCCAGCACAAAAGTTCTTCAAGCAACCCAGATGTGATACCCGCCTGACAAAATGGAAACACACACACACACACACACACACACACACACACACACACACACCCCACACACACTCACTCACACTTCCTTTGCAAAAAAAAAAGAAACAAAACAGTTTTTTTTTCCTACATTGTCTCTGAACCTCTCTCCTCCCAAGTTTCTTCTCTGGAGAATTTTTCTAAACCAAACAGACAAGCAGGTGGGCAGCCTGAAGCCTGCCCAGAGGTCCCCTGCAAGGGACACCCAGCAGCACCAAGGAGGCCTCAAGGCTCTGGGACGACTCCTTTCTCTTTACTGGTGTTTTCTCTCGGGACCATATGACAGCCTGCTGTGGAAGGGACTTTGCTGTGCCTGGTGTGGACTGGAGAAAAAACAATTGCAGCTGTTTCTTGAGCTGCCTACTCTGTGGACCTTCCTGCCCAGGGACTAGCAGAGAGTATTGGTCAGCAAGGAAGCAGGGCTGGCCATAAGGACCTTGTCACCTCTTCCTCTTGGCTTCAAAGATGGAGATGGTTTGCTGCCACGCCCAGGTCTTCTGTGACTGAGTGGGTCTGAGTCTGGAGTGGGAACTCCCATGGCTGCTCCGGGCCGTGGTGCCTGTAGCATAGATGGGGTTAGGAGCTGTTACAGGAGGAAGCTCCTCCAGGGAAGGAGCAAGCCTTGCTTGGCACCAGCTCCAAGATGCGCCTTCCTCCTTCATGCCAGGAATCTTGACGTCAAAGAGAAATGATCCTCTGTTGGCTTTTTTTTTTGGATTTTTTTTTTTTGTGGGTCTATTTGGTGGGTCTCCCTCGGGGAGAAGGGTTGTTAAATGGGGCTGGGGAGACCCTAGCTGGACATGTGTCCATAACACTCTGGTGGGCTCCCAAGCTTACCCCTTCTCTCTTCTCCTTTTTCCCATTTTCTCTTTCATCATTTCTGAGACGTTCATCCACTGTCTGTACATACTGGGCCTCCTTTCTCCACATATGTGTATATCCATATACATATATCCTGTGATTTCTTCTTTATTTCATTTTTTTTAAAGAAACAAAACTATGAAAATAATACCCTACAGATGAGCGAAAATGTATTATTGTAAAGTTTATTTTTTTTAATAATGTTGTCTATGATGGGAAGAAAGGTACCAGGTCCCCTGAGCTCTGGTCCAGTTGGGCTGATGGGGCTGTGGCCGGGGACTCCCGATTGCATTCACTCTTAACCAAGCTCCAATAAATGTACTAGGAAGCGAGTTGCCTTCTGCCTCACTCCTGAGTGACTTCGCCTATGCTTTGTTCTTGGCCAAGTACCACCTACCGAATGCTTACCTGAGGGTCTCGCTCAGTTGGTGGATGTTTGTATATATTTGTATATGTGGACTGGCATGTGTGCATACATCAGTGTGTCTGGTCCACATGTTCTGGTGTGGGTGACAGATGAAACTCACATAGGAGATATATATATATATTGACTTGGTGGGTCTGAGGTCTGTGACCTGGTTGAGTCTGTGGTGTCTTGTCCCCTTTTGCCTCACCTTCCTAGCCAGCACTGATGTCAGCTGCTCTAAGACTAGAAGAGAGCTGAGACAGAAGTGGGCTGGGAGAATTGAGAGAGACACCCTGTCACCAATCCTGCTTATGCTTTTGTTTTTAAGCAGCCTGGGTGGCCCTGTCCACCTTATAGATCATGGGGTGGGGTCTCCTTAGGACTTCTGGTCTACCTGAAGTGTGTGATTGGAACTTTAATCTTTGAGTCTCACCATAGAAATAAGATAATTCTTAGTGTTTGGGGGGTGGTGGTACAAAAGATCAAGCATTCTTTTCCTTCTCTCCATCCTGTTCTTCCATCTCTTCCATTTGCCACACAGACCCTAGTTGGATACTGGGACTGCATATACATATATATCAATATATATAATATACACATATACATCATATATATACACATATACATCATATATATACACAGACATACACATGTATATGCATGAGGTGGGTAGAATGGAGAAGCAAAGTCTGGCCTACATCTTTAGGGTTGCCTGTGATCCTGCCTCATCACCCTATTAGGTGATGTCATTTTTCAGTTTCTCAGTCCTGGTTCTGCTCAAATGGCTCTTATTGATTGTACACATGTTAGTAACATCTGTTCACAATGGTGACATTGGCATGTTATGCTCCAGCTGTCTGCCTGGAGGAAGGACAGTGAACCAGCCTGCCCTCTTCCCAGCCACCTCTGCCTTACTGTGCTGGCCACTTGAGAATACATGGTTCTTGAGACTGGCAAAGACACTGGTTTGGGCGGGGTTTCCTGGGAGCTCACAGAATTGGAAGGGGATCCAAAGAAGGCTGGAGCAGAAAGTAGAGAACACCTAAGGAACACTGGGGCCTAGAAACTGAGATTTCGGCTGGGGACAGACATAGGCGAACTGACCATAGCACCAGGAGCAGGCTGAAGGGACCCACAGAGAGCAATTTTAAGTTGCCTTGAGGTTATTTGGTGATCGAGGTGCCTGTGTGCTTACCTCAGTCATCAGACATTATGACATTAGCTTCCTTAGCCACCGGCTCTTGAACATTCATCATCCAGGGAACGTGTCTGTCTGCCAGGTTACCATAGCTCATGTTCCCTATTCCAAGACTTTGGCAAGTCTGAAGCCACATCTCAATGCTCTTCACTTGCTGGAGGAACATCTGTCATGGGTGGTCATGTTCAGACAAGAGCCTGGAGATCAGCTTCCTGCTGGCTCTTGCCTCTGGGTCTCCTTTCTTACAGCAGGTAGACCAGGCCAGGATGAAGGTCTAAGGAAGCCTGAAGTGGGGGTCTGAGGACGTCCAATGTCCTGGACATCATGGGAGCGGTGCTACTTGTCTCACTCTGACCTTGTGGTAATCTTCACAGCTCGGTCTCTCCCTTATGTTGAGAATAGTCACAGGGGCATTGTCTTAGTTCCTGAGTCCTCAAACCCTGCATTTGAAGGAAAAATAGAAGCAGGTTTCCCAGGGATGGGCTTGAGCCTGATTTTACTGTTGTTTCCAGAAAACAAGCTTTGCATATTATCCTCAGGCCCAGATGTGTCCAAAAGACCCTTCTGACACTAGTAAGCCTGGATGACACCCTTGTGTCATCCCTAGGCTCTCACTAAGGAGAGCCTGGTCACTGAGATGCCCGCTGATGCTTGTGGTCTGACACACCACTTGCTGTAACTTGGCTTTGTTCCAAAGCTGCTCCATTGTGTGTGTGCGCATGTGTGTACGCTTGCATGTATACTAGCTATGGACCGCCAAATGCCCAAATGAGATAGACTTTCCTTTGCTCCTGGAAGAGCAAAGTTTCAGGCTTGCCTCCCAGCTGGAGAAATTCTTGGGCCAGAATTTTCTAATTTGTGGAGTGGACTTAAGCAGCCCCTACCAAGTGGGTTAGGATGCCAGGGGATAAAACCACACACTCCATGTTAATACAAGTGAATGTATTCATGGCCTGTTTTCCACTCTTATGGGTCTCCGTGGGGGTTGATGTTCATCTTCTAAAAATGATTAAATTTTAAAGGCAATGTCAAAGCCATTTGAAACCAACAGTGACAAATAAGACAGGTGATAGTCTTTGTGGTAGGTCTAAGCAGTGAGAAGCTGCCTTTTGGTCACTTATGGGAAATCTTGTCATCTTGTTCAACCTTGGTAGCCTCGCTTACGAAGTTATATTAGACAAGCACTCGAGTCGTCCTTCTCAACTTTAAATGAGCTCTGAGAGAGAGGGCAAAGGCTCAGAGACGGGCAGAGATGGACAGAAGCCAACTCTAAGGCTGGTGCTAAGCAGTCAGCTTTGTTTTCCTGACTAGTGTGACTACCACCCCTTGAGGCACGCTTCCAGTGTTCTGGACCAGGACTGCATGCCCAGTTTGCTGAGAGATGGCTTGAAATTTTTCAGTGCTGATGTTTTCTGGAAACCCAGCCATACTACTTGGAGTGTCTCCTATATTAAAACAGGTAAGTAACAGAAAGGGCTTGGAGGTCTTGTCAAAGACTTGGCAAGGGGCTGGGAAGGTGGATCATTGCTATAATGACTGCCATGCATGTGTAAGGACCTGAGTTCAGATCCCCAGCACCCACATTGATTGTGTGTTGTGGTGTAAATTTATAACATTGTTGAGGTTGGGAAGATAGTTGGATCCCTGAATCTTGCTGGCCAGCCGGTTTGGCCAATCAGTGAGCACCAGGTTTAGTGAGAAACTCTGTCTCAAAAGATAAGGTGGAAAGTGATCAAGGAAGACATCACATTGACCTATGGCCTCCACACACGTGTATTTACATGTACATGTACCCATATGCACATGTGAACACACATATACCACATACATGCATACACACACACACACACAAGTACATAACTTGTACATAACACAAACTGCACAGAGAATCAACTCCTGAGAATGTCATTTACCACATCCCGTTTTTAATGCAAAGCAGAGGCTTTATCCTGTACCTCCCATGGCAGAAAACGACAATCCTGCATTTTGAAAGGATCATAATAGGATTATTGAAAACAAAACCCAGAACAGTGAGGATATTTTGAAATATGCACATCTGAGAGATTTTACGAATGCTCATGTGTCCCTGTGCAAGACGCTATTTTGAAATTGTGTAAAACCATCCCTCCATCCGTCGAGACTCAGGCAGGTTCATGCCATGTTTCTATTGTATGCACTGAAATAAAGATGTTTCTATCTTGTCGCAGATTTTGAAGAAGGTGAGTGGTAGGATTCAAACTCAAATTCAGGGGTTAGTACCAGAGGTGTGTTCCAACTGTCCCACCAGGTAGCCAGTTTGAATTGAACTGCTGCATAGATGACCTGTCTGTGTTGGCTCATAGCTGCTCAGGTAGGGACAGTCACTTCCCTGGGCTTGTTGGTGCACCCTTCTCTCTATTTTCAACATCCTCATCATTTGTATGGGTAAGGGTACCAGACCACCGGCAGACAGAAAGCTGAGTGTACCTTGAGGAACCTGCAGGGCAGTGAGGAGGGAGTTCTCCAGACAGTTTCATAAAATCAGGCATGGTGTACACTTAAAAGAAAAGAGAAGGGAAAAGGGGCTGCCACTCAATGACAAAGAGCTGTGGCTTGAGGCCTTCCTGGTGGGCAGGGGAGGATGGAGCTGGGTAATCTACAGTAGCATCACCATCTCAAATTTCCTGGAGTAGATTAATGGCTTAGTTGGGAAATGGATTTTGTGGGAAGATGGACCCTTTAGGAAAGAAACTGACCATCTGGGACCCTGCTTTCTTGACCTTAGACTGTTCTTGTCTTGGAGGCCCAATGGTTAAGAGGAGAGAGACTGAAAGTGATGTGATTTTGGGACTCAAAGTGATGTGATTTGAGTTCTAAATCTGTCGCTGACCAACTAAGGTATCATGCCCAGTACCCTTGAATTGTCTCATATAGGAAATGATGGTATCAAGCTGGCTTTCTAGGGATGGTCAGGATTATGTGGGCTATTCTGTGTGCCTGCCATATAGTGGCCACTAAGACACGCACTGTGTTACCCAAGGGTCAATATCCTGGGCCTCCCTGATTCCCTCAGCACCTACCTTGACGCCCAGGCTTGTTTGCTTGGGGTCACCTTTGGAACTTCCCCCTCTTCCTTCTATAGCCTAAGAAGAAGAGACAGGGTATGATTGTCACTACACTCCAGGGCGCTACTCTTGGAAGCCCTGCCAAGTGTAGTTGGGAAGGCAGGGAGAGTAGGAACAGCAGAGAGCAGACATGCTTGCATTACTTGTAAATTACAGTTGATTTGATCTGAGAGTCACCAGGGATGGTGGCTGCAGAGCATCCAAATGTCATGCTCTCTGGAGTCCTTTGATTGGCTATCCCTCCTCCAAGTGTGAAGGTAGAGGACACGCAGCCGGGAAAGTGCAGTAGCTCAGAACTGAAGACAGGAGGCATCGATTAGACATAGAGCTGAGCTGCCGGAAAGGTCATCACCTATGGGAGAGTGACTGCCATGTGGTTCCTCACCGAGCTCAAGGCAAGAATGGAGATGTCTTTACAAGACCATGGGCTCCCAGGAGTTCCCTGAAGGAAGGTAGCTTCGGGCTTCCAAATCCAGCTTCTGAGGCCTTGTCTGTGTGCTTTTTCTCAAGTCTGGCAAGAAGGTAAGGTCTAAAGACATCAAAATATCCAAGAATATATTGTCCTTTAGGAATCTAGGATGTTCTAGATTCGAACTTGAGTCGAATCTTGCCATCCGTTGGCTAGTGACATTAGCTAAGC